AGTACATGATAGTTCTAGAAACGTTGCGTCATAGTAGTCATGTGACTCGCTGACGCAACAATATGTTATTTACTGATTTCTATCTCATTTGAAAGTAAACTTTTAACTGTAAACAAGTGTTTTAATTTCTTAAAAAGGGGGATCTAATTTCTAAAACCAACAAAAATTATATTTGAAGTTTAGTAATAAATATTTCTAAATATCAAAATGCAGACGGATTACATTTGTAATGAATGTATTCTGTCAAGTGGTACAAAATATATCAAAAGCTGTACTAATTTATTAATGCATACATTAAATTTATAACCCATAATGAACAATTATATAAAAAAAAAAAGTTATTTATGTTCAAGCATATTACTCGCAATAAACTGGTAAATACTTTTTATACTTTTCAAAATTTTACTTAGAATTCACTAGTTTTATACCAAAATTTCTATGCTTTGAACTACTATTCATACTTTCTGAAACTTGCTTTTAAGGTTTCAATAAGTGTTTCTTCATTTTGTCAAATGGAAAAACTTCCTTCCACTATCATATTTTAGGGCTTAACCTGATAATTCCTATCATAACAAAAAGCAAAATAAATTAGCAAAATGTAAAGCCATATAAAAGCTGTACATAACTATATGATTCACACCAAATTAATATAAAACATTTGTCTTATCCAAAAAAACAAATTAAACAACTTAAAATTAAAGTTTTCATTAAAAATAAACTATGCAGAATTATAAATAAAGGGATTAAATAAATTTTACTGTAGAAAGTTAGTCTAATTCCTTTATTAAGTAACTTCACTAGTTTTACTATTAACAATTCAAATTTCTTACCTTTGTTTTAAACTCATTAATTTTGTACTTTTCTGCTATTATATTATTGAATTCCAGGTAAACATCTTTCATAGTGACAGCTTTTCCAGTATCTTGTTTTGTGTTTGGATCAAAATGCTATTGTTTGAGGAAAAAATAGGAAACATTGAAATATAAGAAATAATAATTAAGAATTGATTAAGAAATGTGTATTCTTGAAGAATCTTTCATGTGTATCACTGTTCTCTCTTAATACTTTGAAGTATGATATTTTTGCACAATGATAAGTAATTAATAATGAAGGAATGATATTTTATTTGTATAGAATGTGAGCAAAGGTTTTGCCTTCTACTTCTAGTATAGATATAAAAGTTGTAAATAGAAATATCACTGGTTGGTTTTTTCAACTGCACTTTATGATATTTTCATTTAATATGAAACTAAATTTCTTCATGTTACTTCAAAAGAATGGCATCCAAAAATGGCAAGTTTTCACAAATTAATGATTTTGATAAATTCCTCAAATACCTGAAACAATTGTAATGGTTTTCTCAAGTTTTCCATGTATAATGAATCATTTACAACCTATAAATATTAGCAAAATTTCATTACTTTCTTGATGGAATCATGCAAAGCTTATATTCATTTTGCTTTAACAGAAAGTCTTATAAGACTTAAGATACACATGTTAAAAATACATATTTTCCCTTGAAACATAATGCATGTTATGTGAACAAAACTTTCATAAGAACATAAGCGTCATTTGACGGCAAGAGATATTACTGCAGAACATAGTACTTCACACAGAAGTAGAAATTTGTTTGCATTTGTGTATATTTTAAACCATACAAATGTCACTGATCATCCTAGAACATGGTTTTATATTAAAACTCATATGAAAAACTAATTGAAATATTTAACTACTTTAAAAAACATTTCATTTTATTTAACAGGATTTTGGAGATCAGAATTCATTTAAGACAAAAGATTTAAATAAGAAAATCTTTGCTAAATAATCATAAAATGCAAGAAAGAACATAAAAAGTGTTGATGCCTTTAATAAACTAATAAAACTAATGACACAGTCAATGTCATAGTACATGTAAAATTATATTTGAAAGTAGTGTAGTAAAATCTAACTTACTGTGACTCTAGGTAATAAAAAAATCCTGCGTTCAATGTTTCTGACACATATGCAACAGCTGACATGAGTCTTTGCTGATTCTATCCAGATTTTTCCAAACAGATAAACAACACCTAAAATACAAAAAATATAGCAGTCAGGTTTCATTCTTTACAGAACCCTATGTGAAAGAAAAATCATACACATATACTTTTATTGGTTTATCAAAGCATAATTTATGAAACTACAAAACTGGATTTTACTTTAGTAACAATTTACAGACAAGATAGTCTCCAAAAACAAGTTGTAGAGTTGTCTATGTAAATATATTTATACATTAGTTTTAGTACCATTAACAAGTCAATTTTCATCAAAAGTGAAAACATTATTTGTGAGATAGGCCTACAACTGTATACAAGTAAAAGTAGTCTGTAGTCAACACTACAGAAGAAATAAACTAAATTTGTATCATTACATGGACTGGACTTCACATATATATATATATATATTATAACAAAATAATTTAAAAGAACCTGCCCAATAAAATAACATGTTACAACAATTTATATTTCACATACATATATGTTTTAAATTTTTCTAAGTTCAGATTTGGAACATACTAAACCTGGTTGAGATTCATGTGGTAAGTAAATTCAGCCTAAGATGTTACTTCTTTGTCCAGTCAGGGAACTTATTTACTGTTTCATGAGATAGTTGTATTTTATCCAACCTGATCTTGTATATCGATATATACCTTCCACCTGTTACAAGGAACAGAGATATTTCCACATTCTGGTGCCTTTTTTTCTAACTGGTTAGCTACAGACAGAATGTATACTTCAAATGCAGTTTTAGAATTTTCACATCATATTTGATCCAACTTCTGAGTGATGTAGTTAATTTTTTTCTCATATAGCCAGTACCCCCTTAAGAGTTCCATCACAGAATAAACAGTTCTGTACATGTTGATCATGCATGCTTTGTTTTTTTTTTATTTTGTCTGCAAGTCAGTGCATTTTCACTCTAATCTGAATATATGTTGTTAATTTTTTTCTTTCATTTATCTGGTATTTGCAACAGTCTTATAATTTAACAATTAGTTTAAATAATTATTTTATTTTGAATTGAGCACTGCATTTCATCTCTTCCGTTTTCCCTGTAACAATCTGCCACATTTGTCCTTCCATATATTAGATCCACAAACCTTTAGATTTTGTGGAGATCAACTGACTGTCTAGTAGGTTTATCCTTGAATTACCACAGTGGACATTTCACCTTTTTTAAAAAGGTGCATCAAAAGTAATTAAAACAATGACTACTAATTTTTAAACATTTTACATTTAAGAATATTATACATCCAATTTTGTACACAAAATAACATTCTTCCTAAAAATCTAGAACTACCTGGATGTTTATAGTAATCCTCAAAAGCATCAATCCAATAAAATCTCAGCACTTCTTGTCCTTCTTCATTGGTAATTAATGGCAATTGTGAGTTATCCACACGTACATCAACAACAGAAGGAACAGGAATTGATGGGCCTTCCCAAGTATCACCCCTTAAAGTAAGAAAAGTAAACACACCAACATTCACTCTAGCAGAGATAATACTGAAACACAAATCATCACAAGTACTGTTATGCAGTAAACATTTTATGCATCAAGTATATAAAGGTTTATACTGCAATAAGCTATTCAAATAATATGTTTAAACTGATCTCGGACATACACATTACTTCTAAATAGGACTGAACTAAAGTTTAAGTTTTCTTTTCAATAAATATTAGTAATAATAAACATGCTTTAAGCTTTTAATTTGACACAAGTTTTTATTATTGAGTTTTTCTTCTCAATAAACATCGGCAATGATAAACATGCTTTGAACTTTAAATATGACTCAAGGCTTGTTTATTGCATTGGTTTCAGAACGAGCACTGAAGATATGAATCATAATAAGCATTGAGTGACCACACTGTACCTCCACCACTCAAGGAATTTATCTACTGTTTAATGATGTAATTATATTTTGTCCAACCTGACTTTGTGTCTGAGAGATACTTTGCAACTTTTGCATGGAATAGATATATTTCTGCATTTTGGTGCCATTTTCTAGTTTGTCAGCTATACAGAGAAAATATACTGAAAATGATACTTTAGTGCTTTCATACAAGTTTGTTCCAAGCACCTTAAAATTAAAGAAATTAAGAATATGTAACTTAGATAATTTCCACACTGACTGTTATTTTATTATCATTCACACATCTGTACAGTTTGACAAAGTAACCCTTCTTTCAGAGATGAGAATAAACCATAGTTAAAAATCCTGAGATGCAGGTTGGATGTATGATGTGCCTAAGAACTCAGCAGAGCCTTGATGAGTGTGAACGATGCCGAAATTACATCTCACTGCAACTGCAATGTTTTACTAGCATCAGTCTTGTTAGCCAAAGGTCTTGGTTTGAAGCCCCAGTCTCAGAGTTTCTTTTCATTTATGAAAATGTTTGTTAGAAAGTGCACTTTCTTTGAAACATAAGATAACTTGTGACATAAATCATTATCCACAAATAAAACATTTTACCATACCACAAAACAAAGATCAAACTATAATCATACTGAAAAAAGTAGACAAGTATTGTAGTTTTAATTGTTTTGACACAAATGTTTATCAATATAAAAGACTCAATCTTTAAACTTGAAATAGAAAAGTATTGTTTTTTTCAACCCTTCACTGTGGCAGCAGTTTATTTCCCATGTGGAACTGTGTTTTGATAATTCTGTTTCAATGTTACAGTTTTTTCTAAAGTTTCAAATACACTAAACCAGGCTGTTAATAATTTCATGGTAGAATCATTTTCTTTGTAATGTCATATTCAATCAACTTTTAACAGCACTTAAAACACATTTGGGTGGCATTTTTAGGCCTACCAATTTCAATTACATGATTTATTTATCCTATTACATTTACATACTTTGCAAAGTGATTTACATTACTTATAACCACTAGAAGTTTATAGATTCCCCAGTGATGTATTATATGCCAAGCCAAGATAGTGTTCTGAACACTAATTTGTAGTATTGTGGGAAAATTTCAGTTTTTTTACAAGAACCGAGATTCTTTAAACTAGGTGTCTGTGATTTGTTGGCTACAAATTTCAACAATAAATGGACAGCACATAATCCACTTGTTTTAAAATAATACATTCAAAAACAAGTCAAACATATGTACAAAAATTTGTTACACTATTGGTTATCACAGTTGCATTCAGAACTTTAAATAACACAGGTCTGCAAATTTAAACTTCATAAAAGTTGTTTTAGTTTTAATAACAAATTTTCCATAATTCAGCTATGCAGATTTTGAAAATATTATTCATTTTTTCTTTCACATAAGGATTTTTTACAAATCAGGAAGAAAAAACCCTTACTCAGATCAAATTATT